ATGGAGAAATCCGTGGATTTTGCACTTTTGCAAAGAGCTCTCTGTGGGCTGGTAGACAAGGCCACAAGGGGTTCAGGGGTGGGGGGGGCAGGTGGGGAGAAGAGGGCAGTCAGGCAGGGGGGGCCATGTGCATGTATATGCACATAGTTGCCAGGTAGCCTGGATAGCAGCTCCTGCAGGTCAGTTTGGGGCAGAGGGAATATAGGCCTCCATAGGGAGCGGGGGAGGGAGTTGGGCAGGGCTGGGGCTGGGGTTGGGGCTGCTGCTGGGCTGTGGGGTTCATGGGGCTTGGGGCTGGAAAAGGCAGTTGCAGGACTCCAGCAGGGAGCAGGATGAGGCTGCAGACAGCTCATCTGGGGGTGGAGGAGTGGGGCTAGCTCCCTGCCACTGTGCTCACTCCTGGGGGCTCAGGGGGAACCCGTGCCCCCCAGATCTGTGCATGTGGTGGGGACAGGGAGTCTGAGCTCACAGTGGGCAGGCAGCAGGGTGGTGGGGGAGAGCTGGGTTCTGCACTCTGCTTCATTGCAGCAGCTGCTGCCTTCCATGGGTAGCAGCTGGGGCTTGAGCACTGCTGTGGGGGGCAGGGAGCTGTGGACTTGGGTCCGTGCCCCTGTAGTCCTGGCAGCTGGGGCCCCCATCCAGCAGAGCTGGGGGGGGCAGGAGGTTGGGGGGGGAGTGAGGGGCACCAGCAGGGCCAGGGGTGATGGGGTGGGGGAGTGAGGGGCACCAGTAGGGATGAGGGGCTGTGGCTTGGGAGTGAGGGGCCTGGATCTGCATTCTGTGAGCTAAGGGAGCAGAGGTTTTCCATTTAAAAAACCCCCAAAATCAAATGCCAAAATTTATAGGTACTTAGAATTCATTTTATTATAGTTATTGAGGAACTGGTAGGCTTCCAGCATTCTTTAAACTTGTACATATATCAAGAAAACATTGTGTTCAACTTATACCTATATATAGTGGCCTTTAATTTTAATGACAGATTTTGGGGGTTTATTCAGAGAATTGCAAATTTTTATCAGGGAATTTGTGATTTTTTTTTATCAGGGAAAACCAGGATCCCTGATTACCTCCAGGGATCCTGGTTTTCTCTGATATATCTATATATTAGTGGTGTTTCGTTTTGATCATGGAAAAGGATTTGGAGTTATTTTTTTAAATCCAAAAATTGGGGATTTTTTTAATTGGAGAAAACCAGGACCCCGGATTATCACTAATAATCTGCAGCTCCCTGCCCCCCACAGTAGTGCTACCACTAAATAGTGGTAACATACGTTGACAGATATGTACTTGTGAAGGTTTTTATTTTGGACACACTAGATCCTGGGTTGTACCTTAATTCAGAAAGTAATCTTGTGTTTAAAAAGGTTGGAGACCACTGTTCTAGGGCCAGGAAGAAATTTTTCTCTCCTTGAATGAATTTCTTGATTTTAATTTTTCTTCCTGCCTCTTAAGCATTGGATGTTAGATGTGATTAGAGGTGAAAGTTAGGTTTGGGTGTGCTTGTACTCTTTACGTTACTTCTTAGGTGCTTGGCCAGAGCATCTTACTGAGAGGCAAACAAATCACCATGTTTGGGTTTGGAACCCAGTTTCCCTCCAAGTCAGACTGGCAAAAGACTGCTGATGCTTTTCTGTCTTCCTCTCTATTGCGGATTATGGTTCACTTCCTAAAATTATCTGAGCATATATTACCTAATTAGTTTCCATCTATTTTAGGGACCCAAAGCATTGATGGTGCCCTTGCTTTTCATTCTCTCTTCTTGTGGCCCATTGTAGGGTTTCTTTTTCCTAGGTTCTTTGGGACGGTGACATGGAAGTGGGGTTGGAATGAATGTCCTTGTGGCCCCTATGAATTCAGGTTGCCTCAGTGAAGAGTTGCCTATGAATGCAAAGACTGAACTTGCTGACCCAAGTATACTTTCTGATAATTCCATTAGCATTCTTATCTTATTTTAAGAGTTTGTAATGTAAAGGTTATCATAATCAACATGAACTTCAAAATAGTGTGAAGTTGAATTCCTATAGCTGGAGAAAGGCTTCTTTAAAAAAAGAATTATTTCAATTTAGAAATTTGGTTAATGAAACAAGTACACAATATAGATAACAACTTAAAACATTTGTTATTATATAATCAGTCATTTGGGACAATCAGTGTATGCTTAATTTAACCAATCAGTGGTGTATTCATTTTAATTGGATATTAGGTAGTCTGCCGTGACTCTAAATTAGGTCTTCCAGACTTATTTTTTAAAAGTCTGAAATTTATTTACCTGCCTTTTCATAATTAGTAACTGTTTGTTAAATAGATAAAGAGCATTTTATAAGTGTAAGATTGTAATTTCCACATTTAAAAAAAAATCTGAATAAAAGAAAAATAGCTCATAGAAAGTGTGTTTAGTTGCTTGGAGTTGAACTGGAAGCTTATGGCTTCTTCCTATATGCACTTATTCCTGAACACTTTCCTACTTGGTTAATGTCTGGCATGGACTGCCAAAAACTCTTTTGTGTGGTATGTTCAAACTTCAGCATCAGAAGGAGCCCTGGGAAGGAATTGTGGCTTAGCAAGCAGCCCGGTGTTGATTACCTCCATGTTTTTAGTCCTAAGATCTATATACCTTATGCAGTTTTATGAACAGGGATCCTGGTTTTCTCTGATAAAAACCAAATCTCCAATTTTTGGATTAACAAAGTAACCCCAAATCCACATTTTTCCATGATCAAAATGAATGACCACTAATATATATCTATATAATTAGATATCTGTATATTAGTGGTGTTTCATTTTGATCACAGAAAAATGTGGATTCGGGGTTACTTTTTTAATATATATCTATATATTAGTGGTGTTTTCATTTTGATGACAGAAAATTATGGATTTGGGGTTACTTCTTTAATCCAAAAATTGGGGATTATTTTTAATCAAAGAAAACCATGGTTATGAAAGGGGGAGTCTTACTCTTTCACCCCCAATACATTTCTATAGACTCATACCCTTAAATCATCAAACTAACTATTTTCAATTAGTTCACTGTAGATTTAAAGTCGAATGGGAACTTCCACATAGATAATCATTCCTTTACAGTTTTAAAGAGGCAGAAGACTTCTGTTAACTCAACTTCTATAGTACTATGGTAAATTAGCATATGGATTTCCAGCTTCTATGTTGTTGACAGTCCCCTGCAGTAGTACTGAGGCTTACAATTGTGAGTGGAGAGCAGAGTGTCACCATTAAAGTTCTCTAAACTAGTGGGATTTTTGTGGGCAAATATATTAGAAACACTCCATTTAAGTCTGATAATTTTTGTGTGAATATTTTATCAGTTTGGTGCATATTCATGGTATGTTTATTTTTATTATAACTTTCTTTGAAATTTTCTGTGTAAATGAGGTAGTTTCATTTGCTGCCATGATACATCAGTGTGATATTACTGTAAAATCATCTTATTTTCACATGTATCCTTTTTTTTTACTTGAAGTAGAAAATAATTTAAGATTTTGTTTATATTTAAAAAAGCAACCAAACCAACCAACCAAACAAACAACCTGGCTTACAATATTAATAATGACCTCAATACAGAACATCAACTTGGGAATTAATGACTAGTTAAGGTAAATGGCCCAAATCCTTGAGTCATTAAACTCCAAGAAAATGTCCTGTACTTTGATCTTTATTGGTATATTAGAGAGAGGTTGTAAAAGTTAAAAATAAAAAGGTGGGGGGACTCCAAACACAAGAATGCTCTAATGTTTACAAAGAAATGGCTATACTATTAGCCGCTTCTTCCTACAGTCCCCAAATAGATGAAACTTCCATTATAGTTGACAGGATTTTTTCCTGTTTTAGCACAGAGGAGGGAAAGCTTCTGATTGCCACCATTGTTTATATTCTTATTTAGAAAGAAATGAACATACACAATTCTGCTTAAGTTACAACAGGGTGTAGTACAAGAATGATTGACTGCTTGGCATTGTTAAATCATTCCTAAATAGCCCCCAAAATAGACATTGATAGTTACAGGAATTTTGCAAGTGTGTGTGTGTGTGTGTGTGTGTGTGTGTGTGTGTGTAATTGGTAGTACATATATTCACTGCAATCCTTTATTTGTATGCTGCTGACACAGTGCAGGAGCTAGAGTCTGTGAACACTTAAAGGACAAGAAGTGCTTAAATCTGAAGCCCTTTATTTATACAGACCGGACAGATGTAAGCTGTTATGATGACTGTTGCTCTGCAATGTCTTACAAATAGTTCTGAGCCCTTTGTGACGTAAAGTAGTATATTTAAAGTGAGGTGGCTTCGTGAGATTTTCACTTTAAATGGAATAAGGGTTAAATGATAACTTGACTTATCTTTTAAATGACAAAAAATAAAGAAATTGCAAGACCTTTTCACACATTAGATATGTATTGTCATTTATCATCTAGATATCAGGCTAGCAGTGCGAAGTAATAAAACATATCATCGAAAAATGTGCTATAGGTCTGAATCACTCTTTCATTCCACCTCCCAGCTAACTGTAGTATTAAATCAAACAAGCAGAACATTTCCTTAGGCAGCCATTGCCTTTTAATTTCCTGAAGAACCTTAAAATATCATTCATTACAAGTACTACACATATTTGGTTTTTAAAAGTCTCATAAATCAATAGCAGGCTGACTGTAATAATTATTACAAGTTAGTGCATAATTTTCGTGCTGAAGGCTGCATGCAGAACTTTAGCATATGCAAACGAGGCAATTCAAACTGTGTATAGATATTAATATGAAGAAGCAGGTAACGAGGTGCAGGCTATGAATTATGCATCAAGAGCGGCTGATCTTCAATGAGGAAAATGAATTCAGCATGTAATCTAATTAGTGATGGAAGTCTATTACATCTAACTGCAAAAGCAACCGTCCTTGAAACAAATTTATTTACAGTCCATGTTACCACTTGAAACAACTTTGAAATGATGTGTAAGACAACAGCTTAATTGTAAAAATTTTTGTTTGTTTGTTTCAGTTCTAGACCTGGAAGGCCTCCTAAGAGGACTCAAAGTGTCACCTCCCCAGAAAATTCTCATATTATGCCACATTCTGTCCCAGGCCTAATGTCTCCTGGAATCATCCCGCCAACAGGTAGGACTGCTAATATCAAGCTAACAGTTTTATGGTGAGGTGACTTGCATGCACTGATTTAAAAATTAAGAAAATGTTTTCTCCCTTTTTCAAAAATAACTTCTTGAAGCCTGAATTACCTTATTGATTTCATCCTCCACTTGGCAAACAATGACTTCCTAGTTTTTTAGTAGATTTGAAATTATTTGACTGCCTTTTTGTTTTGTTCTCTTTTGGTTTTTTTCCTGTTCTTTTCCCAGTTGTAGGTGACACATCAGAATTGTGCCTGCTTCAGACAGTTACTGGTTAGATCAACCCCTTGCTCTACTCACCTGCTTTTTGAATTTTCACACTCAAATCACATTGATGGTATGTTTCAGTGTGAAGAGTGTGTCTTCTGCTTTAGGGATGTGCAGTTACGCACCTCTTGCTGGTTTTTATAGCTCCTTCTTTTGAAGTAATAGTTTACGAACTAGCATAAAGAATTTATAGAGTCCCATGAAGTCCCTACCAGCCCTACTTTCCTGTAATCCTAATTTCTCTTTTGTCCCCTCTCAAGAGCATTTGGGACAACAGATTATTCAGAAATATAATAAAAGCACACAGAATGTGAGCTTTCTAAAATAATAAGTCTCAGAACCAAGTGAGAGGTCCCGTTAAAGAGGGGGAAAAGGAAGAAATGGTTTGAAATGGAAGCCAATAAGTGTAAGGGTAAGAGTGTTTTTTTACAGAACATCTTCAGGGAGAATGAGAACGATTTAGGTGATTTTGTAAAAGTTTGGAAGGAGTAAATAGCTGTCAAGGCAGAATAAGTTTCACACCATAGGGCTAACCACAGTGAAAACCTATTGCTGATTTTCAGATATAATGGGAAGATCCTTTAAACAGCTGGTTGAATGTGAGCAACAGCTACCGTCAGTGCCAAGCCCAGGGAGAAGGTCTTCTCTGTAGCATGGGTCAGCAAAGTTAAAGGCTCTAAAAGCCAGCAGTAGCAAATGAAATTCAGTCCACCATTTTATTGGCGATGATGGAAGGAATGCAGGGTGGGCATAAAACCTGATCACAATAGCTTGATAGTTGTGCTGCTTTGTTTTGAATAAGCTGCAAATGTGACAAAGCAGCCCTAGGGACAGCCCTGCCAGGAAGGAACTACAATAATTGTAATTAATGTTGTTAGTGCAGTAATGAAAAAGGCACCATTTTATATTCACTGAAAAACTGGTGTCATCTTGTGAATTCTTTTCCCCACATTTTTCTTCACATATTCCTTGGTTAGGGTGTTAAGAGATTTACAGTTCTTGTTAGGAAATTAGCTCTAAAAAGAATTAAAAATAAGACACCCTGTCCCCAAAGTCAAGGCAATCCCAAAGTGCAGGTGTTTTGAAGAGCTGTGTTGCTGTGGACATTCCTTAAGTTCCTTTCTTTAATATATGCACAGTGTTGGGTAATTTAATTATGTAGTTACTGTTCTATTCTCTGAAGTTCTAATATAATTTTGATGGCTTGGATAAAGTGCTCTCTAGTCTTCTGCTCTCATCCCTTTTGTAGCCTTTCTCAAGCTATGGTCCATAGAACACTGGTTGCTTACTGTCTCTCTTTCCACCTACAAAATCACTGAATAAGGTAAAGCAATGAATTTCCAGCAAAAGTTAATTTTTCATCAAGCAGCTGGTACAGCTGCCACAGGAATGTGTATAGGAGAGAAAGTGTTCTGCGCAATTCTAAATAGGAGGGAGGCAATCTTCTGTTCAGGTGTGATTCATATACAAAAAAAGCTTATTTACCCTTTTGACTTGGTTGATTCACACTTTAGCTTATATCCATCTACATGGGGCTTGATCAGTTTATGAAAGAGGTTGTATAACATGGTCCCTAAATATAACAGAGGTCCCTTTTCCTGTGTTCCTAGATGTAGAGACCATAAAATAGTGTATAGTCAAATAGGAACTTGAGGACGTACAGTTTAAATTTATATACCTGTATTGATGGAGAAAACAAATGGCATCTCCTTTGGAACATATTCCCTGTATGATACTGGGTGCTTCTGCACCAGATGCTAACTGCACAGTAGCCAAAAACATGGCGCTGTAGCTTGTCAGTGCTAATACAGTGCTAATATACTACTGTGCTGTATTATTAGGCTACTGCACAGTAGCATCACTAAAAAGATGTGCGCAGTGCCACTGTGCAGTACCTCCAGTTACTGCACATTAATTTAGTACTTGATTATACAAGTACTAAATTTTATGTGGAATAACCACTGCATTTTAATGAATGTGTATATGTACCCAGCAAGAGTGATTTTAAATGAATTCTGAGTGAAACTAATATGTTGGTAAGTGTTATAAGTAGAGAGAAAAGATAATGGGAAAAATCTAATGAGGCTACAGGTTAAAGAGTAGTGAAGAATTACTTCAGTGTAAAATAGACTGTCAGTGGGCATGTCTACATGTACATTTAGGCATGCCTAAATTTAATGTACCTTAGCTTAATGCACTTTAAGGCGATTTAGGGTCATGTCTACATGTACATGCATTAAAGCACATTAATGCTGTGTGTGCAGACTGATGTGGGACTAAAGTTAGTCCCAAGTCAGTTCATACACAGAGTTAATGTGCCTTAGTGCGTCTACATGTGCGTTAATCCATTTTAGCTACTTGTGCCTAAATTTGGTACCTGCAAAAGCAGATATCAAATTTAGGTGCCACTAGCCTAAAATCTTCATTTGAAGGCACATTAAGGGTAGATAAGTGCCCTACATACTACATTGTCTAGTGCCATAAGGCCAACTTTTGTAGTCAGAAGGCACCCTCCAGTAGGATGTTGACCCAAGAAAGTTGTTTAAAACATGTTTTTCAGAGTAAATCCTTCTAATATGCTTTATTCACACTGCCACTTATCCCTGAAATGTATCTCCATGTGGTAATCTCTTATTGTCTCCTTCTTCTAAACTGCTATCGAAATACGCTTTCTGGGCAGCTCATCATTGTTAACCCCCCCACTTGAGGTGTTACAATTCATCAAATAATAACACATGATAAGAAAATCAAATGAAAAAAGGAAAAGCATTTTCTAAACACAATATTGATTAGTGCTTTTATGTTTAATTAATGTTTATTCCCATCCTGTTGGATGATGACCTTTCTGTGGGAGGCATCATGTTTTGCCCTGTGCTTCATACATTGATGGATACACTAGAGGTGCTGGGTGTTCATCCCAAGTTGTCATTTAAAATATTATGAAAGAAGCAAAACAAAGGACTGGAGGGCATGGGAAGGCAATATAAGTTGTACACCAGTGCCTCATGAACTATATTTAACTCCAGTACATCTCTTACCTAACATATTGATAGCATTGTAGACCAGCTGGTTATGTACTTGAGTAACACCTTGTTGAAAAGTTGCTGGCTGAAGTTGAAATCAGGCAAGATGGTGGTGAAGTGGTGGGAAGAAGAAAGAGCTCTGACTGTGCTAAAATGTTGTTTTAGGTTTGTGTACACACACACACACATTCCAGTGATCTAGAAGAATTCATCTGGGTTTGTTCCCTTGATAGAAAATCTTACCTGTAGATGCCTGGACAGACATTTGAATGCTGATCCCTTGAAGAGGACAAAGCTTACAGTGCACATATCTCAGCATGCTGTACAGGCTCCCTCAGTCTAACTGGACACAGCTGTCAGCCCTGATTGGCTGACTTAGACTGCTCAGGGTCAGTATGGGTCTCCCTGCATCACAAGGTGGGGATTATGAAAGGGGTATATTCTGCTCCTTGCTTGGCTGGAATGAAGTCCAGCAAGTAACATAATGTCATCCTGGGGGATGGGAGCAGTGACTTCTGTCAGAATAGAATGTGTACAGACATTCACTCTCCTGAGAGAAACTCTCCCAGGAGAAAAATAACTTGGGGACAACCAAAGTTAAATAGCTCCCAGGAAAAACTCTCTTGGGAGAAATTTAACCTGGGTTGTTCCCAGGTTATTTTTCTTGCAGAGTGGCCCTTTATGCTGTGGGAAAAAATGTTTTTAATATCTGTATACTTGTGGTTTCTACTGGGAGAAAAGTGACTCTCAGAAGAAACCAAATGTGGATATGTGGTCTCAGTTTGCGAGCATGGTACATGGCCTTTTGGATTACTACACATCAATGTTATTGCATCTCAGTGGAGCTGTAAAGCAAAGTATTTGTGGTTTTGATTTTTAAAATCACATGAGGCACTTAGTTGTGGGATAGATAAACACAGAATGGGCATGTCCACACATCCAGGCACATGTGCTTGCAGCAGCTCAAATAGGAGAGCCATGAATTTGAGTTGGGGATTTTTGCCTCAGCACACATGCCTGGACATGAACTTTGGTGTGGGGTGAGTTGTGCCACTTGGGGCAAAATAACCCTGCCCAGCTCCTCCCAGATCTGCAGCCAGGGGGAGCTAGAGCCTGGGGCCAGGCCTGTGTGATTTGGCACAGGCAACACTGGGTGCCAGGCAGCTGGAGCTGAGCTGTGGGGGGCAGGGCAGTGCCAGAAGGGCCCCGAGCGCTCTGGTGGGCTGCTGCTGCAGGGGGGGCGCTGTGTGGGGCACAGGCAGGGGACCCACTCCTCCCGAGCAATCTTCCCCTCACACCCACAGTCCCTTACACCCCCTCATTCCCCCACCCTGCTCCAGTCTGCCCCACCCCCAGTCCCTTACCTCCCATGGAGCAGGGGTCCATGCAGCCTGCATCGGTTCAGGATGCCTTGCACATGGAGCCAGCATGCTTCAGCAAGGGGCAGCCATAGAGATGCTCTAGCTGGTTACCAGAGCATTTCTTTGGAGGACCCAAGCCTCCGGTTGCCTAAGTGCTTTTTTTCCTTGGGTTTGTTTTGTTTTGTTTTTGTTTTGTTTTGTTTTGTTTTTGATACCTGGCTATCCAGGTATCGGATTTTGAGCCTGCACTGAAAACTGCTTTCAGATGTGGCAAGAGGCACATGCAGGCTCATCTGGATGTGCCCAATAAGTGCATAGGCAGATGGAACAGACAACTT